CCAGGCAGGAATACGGGAGTGGGTTGCTCTTTCCCTCTCCAGAGCATCGTCCCGACCCAGGGATTGAACCTGCATGTCTTGCATTGACAGACAGATTCTTTATCAACTGAACCACCAGGGAAACCCCCATCTTACCTCTTCTCCCAAATGTCCATGCTCTCTGCTGCCTGCCAAAGTCACGGCCTTCACTCACTTCTCCACCCCCTTTTTAGCAGACCAAGATACCTGAAAACTACAGGAAGGAGTGGTGCAGTGCTGAACAAAATGCAGATGTCCAGGGCTTTGTGATCCAGACGGTCTGGTATCACTTCCTAAGAAACCTGGCAGTCGGTGCTGACGCTAATGACTCTGCCTCTTGACCTTTGCCTCCAGGTAGATTCCCGAGCCCTCTGTTTCAATCCTGCCACCTCTCCACTCACTGTGCTTTTGGCTTCCACAAACATCTAAACCTAGATCCTCCTCTTCCTCTTCATTCCACCTCCGCTTTATTTCCATTCTAATATGCAGTGAAATGCTTTCCGAGAAAGAAACCTGACCTGTTGCAAGCAAGAAAATCAGGTTTATGTCTTCTTAGTTATAGTTGATTTATTATTGCCTGCCTTTTCAAACCTGTCAATCCTAAAGGAAGTCAACCCTGGAGATTTACTGGAAGGACTGAAGCTGAAGCTCCAATCCTTTGGCCACCTGATGCAAAGAGCTGACTTACTGGAAAAGACCCTGATGCTGGGAAAGATTGAGGGCAGGAGGACAAGGGTGAGATGGTGGATTTCAGCAAACTCTGGGAGATAGTGAAGGACAGGGAAGCCTGACATATTGCAGCCCATGGGGTCACAAAGAGTCAGACACGATTTAGTGACTGAACATCAACAAATTATTGGCCTCAGAATCTCATCCCCTAGGAGCTGGTCCCCTCTTTCCCTGGGCCTTCACAGTTCCCTCAAGGGTAATGATATTCTAGCCCAGGGGTCCCCAGCCTCCTGGATCTAATGCCTAATGATCTGAGGTGGAGCTGATGTAACAATAAAAGAAATAAAGTGCACAACAAATGTAATGTGCTTGAATCAGCCCCAAAGCACCCCTCAGCCTGGTCCTTGGGAAAAATTGTCTTCCATGAAACTCTCAGTCCTGGTTACAAAATGCCCCAAACCAGAGACCCACCATGTACGAGAAAGTATAAGATGTTAAAGTTTTCAAACAGGGCCTGAGGGTCCTTTCAGCATTTCTCCGTGATTATTCATTAGTCATTCAGCTTGAGATCGTTGTCGCTGTCTGTGTGTTTTCCAGGTCCTAATTAAACATGTTGACTGTGCATCTGATGAGCCAAAATCACTGATGCCTCATCCACAGGTTATGTCTCCCGTAATTACCAAGCTGTGTTGGCCAGAGGAGGAGCCCAGCAGTGGCTTCATCTTCCCAGCTGGAGAGTTTAGAGTCACATGACTGCATCCCTGTTGTTAGCACACCCTGATGTGGGCTGTGGATATCCCCTGCCCACTGAATCACAGCCAAGTCCTTTTCTGACATAGTGACTTGGTGGATGGACTAGATTTCTTCTTTAATACCCCACCCAGACACGCACTGGAACTTTTCTGGGGCTATGTTTTTTTCTTTTAGCTTTTTATTTTGTATTGGGGTACAGCCAATCAGCAGTGTTGTGATAGTTTCAGGTGAGCAGAAACGTGACGTACCCATTTGTATACCTGGATCCATTCTCCCCCAAACTCCTCTCGCTTCCGGGCTGCCACATAATATTGAGCAGAGTTCCCTGTGCTGTGAGTAGGTCCTTGTTGATTATCCATTTTATGTGGAGCGGTGGGTACATGTTCTGGACTTTAGCAAGGACATCTGGTGACTGGGATGTGTGATACTGTAGTTTTGACTTGGTCTACAGACCAGAATTCCACTTTTCATGTTCTACTAATAAGATGCAGCATCACAGACCTACCCAATATGCGGCCAGAGGCCTCCATGTTTCTCCCTTAGACACTCTACACCTTAGAGGGTGTGGCTATCTTGGCAGAGTCATTTCAGACCAAGGTTAGCCTCCTTGAACCTCTATCCCACCCAGTTTTCCCTTTCTGACCAAGAATTGGGTTGGCTAAAAGTTCATTTGAGGTTTTCAGAAAAACCCAAACGAATTTTTGGCTAGCACAATGCCTAAAGTCTTGGAATCACTCTCATCTAGTTATACTGAATTTTGAGATAAATTGCCCATCTTTCATGTGTATCACCAGTGGATACCATCGTTTAGGAAAAAAAAGTAAAGGTAGCCATGTAACTTGGGCATAATCACTTCCTTAGAGCAGTGGTAGGCTGAGAACATGGCCCTGTCTCATGTTCCAAGAGCTGCAGTGGGAATGGAATATGTTTGATTGGCTGACTATGGCTAAGACATATGGAGCAACGGGCAAGATAACTTACGCCCAAGAGCGTGAGTGAACTGAAAGGCGGTTAATTCTAAAATATCCAGAGTGGCAGAGGAGTTAGTGAGATCCCAGAAGGGCACCTAAAATCATATGTTTGGCTAAATCAAAAGTTGAACGGCAACCTGTGTGTGAATGGGTGGGTTTAAAATAGTGAATTCTGAAGCCTGAGCAGAAATGTTCCAAAAAGCTACAGAGCATGGACAGGGTCAGGTTTTTAAGGAAAGCTCATGGTGGACCCCTGACCTGGGAGGCCGAATCCAAACCCACGGGCCAGCTTGAAGAAGGCTGGATTCCTTGACTCTCAGAGAAGCATCTGATCTTTCTAGAGCTTTCTGATTACTTGCCCAAACCGATTTATTTCAGCTGAGCAAACCACACCACAGGCCAGGGCGTTTGAAAAAGATCTCTAAAGTAACATAGTCTCACCTGTTTGAGGCATGGATTTCAATGACTGGCTATAAGCTTTGATCCTACAGTCTTCTGGTACATTGGTGACGATAGACTTAGTCATTTTCAATGTAATGGTACCATGAGAACTAGATATTTCTACCTTTCTCCTGCATTTAGGTCACTTATATTTCCTGTATTTGCACAAGTTATTGTCTCTAAGAGTATGGACTCCCTGTCATCTTGAAAAATACACCAACAACTAGCAAAGAATTAACACGTAAGGGCCATTAGTCTCAAGAGAGACTATGTGTGGGCAATTATTCCCTCTCCTGCTTCACTGGGCCCGAAGGGATTTCTGTATGAGGAATTAGGAAGTAGCTGCTAGTCAGTGTACGGTTCCGCTGCTTTGTTTTGACAACTTCTACCTACACTGTATTAATTTCTTCACAGTTGGGCTAGCCGTCATAAATTTCCTAGTGAAAGCTGCTTAGGGCTCTCCAGCCTACGTGGTTCTTTATTCCATTCAAAGATCTGTATTGTTGATCACTACCATTTGGGGGGCTGCTTTTGAGTAGATGTAGAATTAGCACATATATATGGGATCTAGAAAATGGTACTGATGAACCTATTAGCAGGGCAGGAATAGTGACGCAGCCAGACAATGAATGTGTGGACACAGCCGGGGAAGAGGTGCGGGGGAATTGGGAGATTAGCACAAGACAATGAATGTGTGGACACAGCCGGGGAAGAGAGGTGAGGGGGGGAATTGGGAGATTAGCACTGACGCACACTCCCTGTGTCAAACAGCTAGAGGGAGGGTGCAGTATAGTAGAGGGGTCCGCTCGGGGATGACCCAGGGGGTGGATGAGCAGGGGGTGGGAGAGAGGCTCCAGAGGGCAGGGATACATCACTTAGAGCTGATTCAGGTTGGTGTACAGCAGAAAGCTAACACAACGTTGCATGTCAACTATACTCCGATAAAAGAGTGAGTCCGAATTGCAGATAAAACCAGTTTGCTATCACTGATAGCAAATAGTTTCTTTCTTCCTGTGGTCAGTATTTCCCATGTTGATGCTGCTGCATACAGGCAGTTCCCAATGAGAAGATAATGAGTTGCCTGCATTGTCATCAGCCTTGTTTTAGATAAGTGACTCAAATGACGTATGTATACAGAGCTAGGGTCAGCGTGTGTTTATATTGTTGTCTGTCGTAAACAGAGCATCCCAGGAGACTCGCAATCGTGAAAAAGAAACAACAACTTCTGATCCAAACCAGAGATTATGTGTACCCCGAACCAGGGCCTCTTCCCAGTGTGTTGTGTATCACAGCATGGCACCCTAAGGCCAGGCAACTGGGTGATTGCTGTCACTGCTTTGGGCTCTCAGCTCTATCCAGAGGAGACTTCTGTTTCTCCGTGATTTTATCATAGTCACTATTCCAGAAACTACCAAGCCTTATCATCCATACACAACTAAGCAATTACTGATTCCACCTGCTCCCCTCCAAGTCTGAGAATGGCTGTTTAATACACAACAGAGTTGAAACTGTCATTAAAGCTGAACCCACAGGAGACACCGACATGAGAGGTGACTTCAGGACCTACTAGACATGGTCACTCCACTACAGCTGGGCTGCGCTTTCACCAACTTATAAGCTCGTGGAGGGACATGACTCACGCTGTTGTCACTGGAGCTCAATGGGGAAGGTGGGGCAAAGACCATCATCTATAGCGTCAGTTCATAGGGGATTCACATATTCACCAGCCCTTTAGAGTGAAATTACAGAGTCAAAATCCTACGAGAAAATCCACAGCTCTGATGTAGAAACAGATCTTTTAGTTCTGCTTGCAGAATTACCTGGTGAAATCACGGCTCAAAATTATAGAGCTAGGAAGTGGAATGGAAACGCAGAAAGTAAGGCTTCAGAGTGTCTGCAGTTCTGTTTTGCTTCAAAATAACAAATGTTTATTGTATGTTCCTCACATGAAACATACAATGCCTATTTGAATTTCTGGTGGCTAAGATGGTAAAGAATCTGCCTGCAATGCAGGAGGTGTGGGTTCGATCTCTGGGCTGGGAACTTCCCCTGGAGAAGGGATTGGCTACCCACTCCAGTATTCTGGCCTGGAGAATTCCATGGACAGAGGAGTCTGGTGGGCTGTAGTCCATGGGGTTGAAAAGAGTCAGACATGACTAAGCGACTAACACTTTCACACATTCTGTGTCAGATCCTACGAGGCAGGCACTGATGATAGAGCAAGAAGCAAGGTTGTAACCCAGGTACGCAGGTATTTAGTTATTTCTAACCCACTGCAATTCTGATGGTTCTCTGGGGAAATAGAAGAGGATGCTGACAAAAATGAATGCAGCCTTAAGTCCTGACATAGGTCAGAGGAAGCAAATTTCCAGGTGTGTCTTTGAGGATAAGTTGGAGTTTCCTGGCAGGCTGGGAGGAGGGATACGCAGAGGCATCAGTCAGCATGAACACATGTGACATAAGTAATCATGGAAGATACACATTCTCCCAGAATTCAGACTCTACCACACACTCTCTTCCTAGTTCCCGATCCAGTCACTCTGTCGGGTACTGTATGAAGTGCTTTAGTGTTACAGACACAGTTAATGCTCCCAGAAGTACTATGAGCGAAGCATTACAGATTCATTTTATGGCTCAGAAGCAAAGGAACCCTTGCAAAAATTGCCTTGTCACTGGTCATGACTAGTGGTTGACAGTACAGGGTTCTGAGCTCTTTCTGCTTTCTGCTGAGTTTTCATTCTTTGCATGAGGCCCTGTTTGTGTCCTCATCCGTCTTCACCAGGCACTGACCCCAGGGTTTGTACAGCTCAAGGTGAGATGTATGTTTCTCTGTCATTCTGCTCAGGGGCCACAATCCTTGGACGTTCACATACTCCAGCCAACTCCTGTTTTCAAATAAGAAGCGGGAGCATCCATTGAACAGAAATACAAAAGTACTCCCTAGCCTGTGAAGCAGTTTTAAAAATTGTAAATGGAATGATTATTCTGAATATACACATGGCTATCCTAAAAAGGGGGGGCTTCCCTGGTAGCTCAGTTGATAAAGAACCCGCCTGCACTGCAGCAGAACCAGGTTCGATCCCTGGGTCGGGAAGATCCCCTGGAGGAGGGTATGGTAACCCATTCCTGTATTCTTGCCTGGGAAATCCCAGGGACAGAGGAGCCTGGTGGGCTCCAGTCCATGGAGTTGCAAAGAGTAGGACACAAGTTGGTGACTTATCCACTGCCACATCCTAAAAGGCTATTTCTTTTTTTTTTTCTTTTTAGTTGGCATTTTTCTATATATCTTTTATTGTTCTTTTGCTTCTTAATATAAGCATAACATTAATAGTGGACAGTTTCTTGTACAAGGGAAACCACTCCTCTGTTTGAGGCTGAATTCTGTTGTAAATGTCATTGGTGTGTATCTCAGTGTATTTGACTCATTGGTGGAAGTGTGTAAAGCTCATGCGTCAGGAATCAGATGTTAAAAAAATGTATATGCCAGTAAAATTGAAGCTCTGGGAAAAAATGCAGGAAAAAAAGTGCAAGTCTATTTGAGTGACGTTGTACAAGCGGTGTAAATCCAGTTGAATAAACCCCTGCATGTATTGGAGAGAAATGAGATTCCTACACCTACGAGGTGGTTCTGCAGATGAAATGGAGTTTGCCCGGTTCACTGTGACCTTGGGAAGTCACCAGGCAGAACTGAAACTTCCTTCTCCCACCCAATCCATTAAGATTTCTGTTCTAATTCCTTTATCAAAGCTTCCTTTCCCATGGTGCAGATACAGTGCAAAAAGCTTTGAAGATAGACTTTGTTTAATCTGCATTTCCTGTTACCCTTGAGATTAGGGGCTGTGCTAAGGTACAGCAGAGAAGGGGAATCAGGTCCACAATTATTCTAACGGACCTCAGAGACGGGTTTAATCTTTACTTCGATCAAGTTAATCATGAAAATCATACTAAAGTTCTTTTCATTCTTCTTTTTTTTCCCCCCTTGAGGAAAAGAGAAAGAAATAATGTCCCACAGCACTGGAAAACATACAAAAGTCCTCTTGGGATAACAAACATATTTCATTCTCACTTGGGCAACTGCTGAGATCACTTCCTGGTAGTTAGGCTTATAGGTTATTGAAACCACTGGGATTTTGTTAAAAATAGCCCTCTAATAAATCTGGCCTTTCTTTTAATTAGAATCCTGGTAATAACTTTTTTGTGGGTTGTTTTCTCCCTTTCAGGACAACTTAAAAAATAATCCCTCATAATGCATATGTTATGTAGAGTTGAGTGGAAATTAAAAAAAAAAACAAAAAAAACCCAAACCCTGACATATTGATTTCTGTGGATTCCTGAGAGAAGGTTCTAAGTAATTTAAGGGCTAAGTCAAGACAATGCACTGTTTCCTTTGAGAGGATTTAAACTTTTCTAAGGGGCTTCCCTGGTGGCTCAAGAGGTAAAGAATCTGCCTGTGAGTATAGGAGACATGGGTTCGAATCCTGGGTCAGGAAAATCCCCTGGAGAAGAAATGGCAAACCACCCAGTATTCTTGCCTGGGAAGCCCATGGACAGAGGAGCCTGGTGGCCTGCAAAGAGTTGGATATGACTGAGTGACTAAGCACACACATGCTCTTATTTACCAAACCTTATTGGAATGATCATTAATCATATCTATCAGGTAATCCTATTCAGTAGTTCCCTGTTGATTTGCAAATGGCCCCATACAGAGAGGGCAGAGAGAGGCCCAGGGAAGAGACAGCCACTCCAGATCAGCAGAAGGCATGTCTAAGAAGGAAAGAACCTTCACACAAGGTTTGACTTGGTTGCTGCAAGACAAGGAGATCTCCACACCTACCCACCAAATCATAGACGAAGTTTATATAGAGGCCTTAACTGGGTTCAGTCATGTATATCAGGGGTCCCCAGACTCTGGGATCTAACACCTGACTATCTGAGTTGGATCTGATCTAATAATATGAGAAATAAGATGCACAGTAAACGTAATGCCCTTGAATCACCCAGAAACCATCCCCTTCCACCTGTAGGGGGGGAAACTGTCTTCCATGAAACCAGTCCCTGGTGCCAAAAAAGCTGGGGACCACTGGTGGATACCATCCAGATGGTCTCAGCAACCCCTGCTATTCCAAGGTTGTGTCCTTAGAACAGCTTCCCCTATAGGAACAGTGGGCAGAGTGGACATCCCAAGGATGGGGGTGTGGTGGGGAGCCTCTGAGCGCCTGGGTCCAGTCCACCGGCCAGCCACTAGCGAGCCCGTCTTGACGGCTTTATCTGACAGTCCTTCCTCCTCTGTTGCTGCCGTTCAGTCTCAGTTCAGGCCAGTCGCTCAGTCGTGTCTGACTCTGTGCGATCCCGTGGACCGCAGCACACCAGGCTCCCCTGTCCTCCACCATCTCCCAGAGTTTGCTGTAACTCATGTCCATCGAGTCGGTGATGCCATCCAGCCATCTCATCCTCTGTCGTCCCCTTCTCCTCCTTCCCTCAATCTTTCCCAGCATCAGGGTGTTTTCCAGCGAGTCTGTTCTTTGCATCAGGTGGCCGAAATATTGGTGCCTCAGCTTAAGCTCTTCCAGTGAGTATTCAGGGTTGGTTTCCTTTAGGATTGACTAGTTTGATCTCCTTGCTGTCCAAGGGACTCTCGAGTCCTCTCCAGCACCACAGTTCAAAAGCTTACAGAAATTGATGGGGTTTCACTTTCCTGCCTGGTGGAGGCTGGTGGACCCCATCACTTGCTTGGCCCAGTGAAGGGAAGTGACCTGACTCAGTTCTGGGTCGAGACTTCAGGAGCCTCTCATCACTGGCAGGGGTGACAAAAGGCCAGGTCAAGGTGATGCCTGTCAGCCCACATTGTCAGCCTGGACAGACCACATTGAGTAAAGTCGTCCTGCCTAGTGCATGTCATGTGACCTAAATATACACTGGTTGTTAAGACACGAAGACGTGGAGGATGCTTGTAACCATAGCCCAGTCTCTCCTGAGACAGTCGGGCTGCTGCCAAATATATCGTAAGCTGTCAGCATCCTGCCAGTAAAGCACCCTCAGCGGGGGAGGCAGCCTTCATCTGCAACGCTGGGAGGCACTGATGGTGCAAATACTCCCGCTGGGACTGGTTTCAAGCTGCTGACATGATCACCCCGTACGTAGATTTGGGACAAGAGGGACAGATCCAGATCTGAGAAGCCAGGAGGAGGCCGACTCCAGGGTACCACTGGCTCAGGATGCAGAGTCGCCAGGGAAAGAGGACTTGGAGCTCCCTTGAGCTTGCAGCCTGGAGAAGCAAGCCCTAAATGAGATAATAGAGGAGATTGTGGAGGTACCCTATCCTATCCAAAATACGGTGACTAAAATTATGATCTCGTCTATAACTAAGTACAAATCTTGCTTAACCTGGCACCCACCGAGAGGAAGATGCTGAGACTGCTGCCGTACGACCTACTGACAACATCAATTCGAGACCCTAAGGTTCACTCCTGGGATAAGCGCCAAACCCAATTTTAGCTAGTTGCACTAGAAATAGACAGTGTCCAGATGCATACTGAAGCACTCATGTTTTCATGACACCAAATTCTCTTTTGGATTCATTTAACCTCCCCTAGACATACTTTTCCAAATAACATGTTGAAATCACAGTATTAGGACAGACAGAGAATACGTCAGCACTTACACACAAACCATGACTGTATCATCCTCCGCATTGGAGACTGGAGAGATCAACGCTTATTCATTTTATTTTATTTCTCTGGACACACTAGAAGACTGCACTTTTCAACCTCGCTTGCACTGAGTTTGAGGTTAGGAAAGAAGAGGCGCACACCATGGCTGGATGTGGCCACACTCGACTTGCTCTCTGTTTGCTGGTTGCCCGGCTGAAGGTGGGAGGCCCTGGAAAGGAATGTCAGCCGCAGAAGAGAAGAGCCTGGACTCCTGGGTCATTGGTGCAAGCCCAGTAGCTAAGTTCTAGTTGGACTTTCTATTGAGTTATTTTGTATTACTGTTGTAGTTAGTATTTACTACCCAGAGGGATATGTCTCTTATCTGGGAATCTTATTTGGCTGGAACTAAAAAGTTAGCATGTCATTTTGGAATTTTATATGGATGAAAAACCTAGAGCACAGACAATTACAATCAAACAAGTTGGGTAAGTCCTGACACAAATTATCTAAGGAGAAACAGAGGTAACTCAGAAAGGGTTAAGAATCTAACCTGGCTTTACTCAGAGAATTCATCATTACTGTGGGTAGAAATAAATAATTGCTTCATGCATTTTCCAAGTCAGAGTTGAGTTCTTTCACCCTCTTCATTAACTTTTAAAAGGTAGCTGTGGAGCTTTAGAAGATGAAGTTAATTTTAGAAATATTTCTTTTGTCAATGGTTAGAACATGATGGCCTGTTGTTGAGACCAGCAAATGTTGAGATTTATCAAAATGCTCCAGTTTCTAAATGAAGTTACTGCTTAAAGACTCTTGATCAGTTCCTTGCAGGCTCACAAGAAAAAGCAATTACTTGCTAAATCTTTGTAATCAAAAGGATTCTTAGTAATCCTAAGTAATTCTAAGTAATAGCCAATGGCAGACAGTGTTGTACCACCCAGATGGCCCTTCAAGGAAGGACCTGCTGACCAGTTGAAGATAGTGTGGTCAGCCAAGTCCTCCAGCCATGGGTCCCTGCAGTGCCAGCTGAAGACAGCTGCCTCTGTCCAGCCTCCATGGCTGGACAACATCTGAATGCCACCCATCCAATGACCCACAGTGGCTGAAGTGACCCAGAGCTCCCAGGGGGCTTGACTGAGGTTGTGCCCAGCCACATCCCACCTGTCTTCTCCCTCTGCCCAAGTCTGCCTCTGCCTCTTTCAAAGAGGTGGACCCCTAATAGACATCGTTCACCCCAAATTCCATCTTGGCATCACCTTCTGGAGAACCCAACCTTTGACACAGACTATGAGGAACTAGAGAACTGACCAGAAAATGTACACTTAAAAATCCGAAGGAGAGGGAGGGAGGAGTTAGGAGAGGAGCATTGATGTAAATGTGTGTCTGTGCCTTCAGGTGCTAAGCCGTGTCCGGCTCTTTGTGATCCCAAGCAGCCAAGCCTCCCTGTCCTCCACTATCTCCCGGGGTTTGCTCGGATTCATGTCCGAGGAGTCAGTGATGCTATCTAACCATCTCATTGTGTGCCGCTGTCTTCTCATTTTGCCTTCAATCTTTCCCAGCAACAGGGTCTTTCCCAATGAGTTGACTACCGTACGGAACATAGACAGCAAGTGGGGGGCTGCTGTGGAGCACTGGGAGCTCAGCTGGGTGCTCAGTGATGCTCTGTGATGCTCTGTGATGCTCAGTGATGCTCTGTGATGCTCAGTGATGCTCTGTGATGCTCTGTGATGCTCTGTGATGACCTAGGCGGTGGGATGGGGGATGGGAGGGGCGTCCAAGAGACGGGCTGTGTGTGTGTGTATAGTTGATTCCTGCTGCTGTCCAGCAGAAGTTAACAAGACACTGTAAAGCCATTACACTCAATACAAAAATAAAAGGACAAGCAACAAGGAAACAAAATTGAAATTTAAACATAACTCTGGCTCCACAGAGGAGACAGGCCAGTCTCAGGCCTCCACTGCTTACTCTGGTCAACAGAGGATGAGAGGGCTGGATGGCATCAAGAACTCAATGGGCATGAGTCTGAGCAAACTCCTGGAGAGAGTGGAGGACAGAGGAGCCTGCTGAGCTGCAGTCTGTAGGGTTGCAAAGAGTTGGGCATGAATTAGCAACTGAACAACTGGAAAACAGGCTGGAGATTCTTAGTCCTGTTTCAATATTTGAGTGACTTTTTCCCGCTACACTTCACAAACCAAGGTGTTGGAACATGTTTTGAAGAGGTTTCTAGCAAAGGATACTATTTTCACCTCCTGTTGCAATGGAGGGAAGGACAGTAGTTGACTGATTGACTGATTCAGCCCCAGGCCAGAGTCTATAGCTATAAATGGTATATTGGCATCTCATTTCTTTTTAGTTAAAAAGACTTGAGCTCATAGATGTTGATGAGAGTCATTTTTACTTAGATCTATGCTTTGGTTTAATTCTTTCTCCTTGCAATGATTGTACATAAAAATATAAGGCAGAAGAGATCTATATATCTTTAAGTATTTGTCTTTACCATAATTTTAAGCCTCTATTTGTATAATGTCATACGATGGTTGCTCTTGGAATTATGGCCACTGAAGTGGCCAACTTGGTTGGTTGTTCAAATAATCTTGTTTATCCCAATTCGTTACTACTATGTATTTCTGGAGATTATAGCTGAGACCATTCTTCTACAGAGCTGAGAAATTTATCATACCTTATGAAATGGAGAAAACTGTGAACTATCCCCTTTGCAAAAATAGTCTCTGAATTGTCAGTCATCAGCTCAGCTCAGCCGCTCAGTTGTGTCCAAGTCTTTGTGACCCATGGACTGCAGGGCGCCAGGCTTCCCTGTCCATCGCCAACTCCCAGAGCTTGCTCAAACTCATGTCCATTGAGTCAGTGATCCAACCATCTCATCCTCTGTCGTCCCCTTCTCCTCCCACCTTCAATCTTTCTCAGCATCAGGGTCTTTTCTAATGAGTCAGATCTTTGCATCAGGTGGCCAAAGTATTGGAACTCTAGTATCAGTCCTTCTAATGAATATTCAGGACTGATTTCCTTTTGGATTGACTGGTTGGAACTCCTTGCAGTCCTAGGGACTCTCAAGAGTCTGCTCCAATACCACAGTTCAAAAGCATCAATTCTTTGGTGCTCAGCTTTCTTTGTAATCCAACTCTCACATCCATACATGACTACTGGAAAAACCATAGCTTTGACTAGATGGACCTTTGTTGGCAAAGTAATGTCTCTGCTTTTTAATATGCTGTCTAGATTGGCCATAACTTTCCTTCCAAGAAGTAAGCGTCTTTTAATTTCATGGCTGCAATCACCATCTGCAGCGATGTTGGAGCCCCCCAAAATAGTCAGCCACTAGAATTATCAAATTATCTAGTGTTGCCTTGGGAGACTGGGAGATGGTAAAATCGGATTTAATTTGGATGGGGAGGAAAGAAAAGAGGGCAGGATGGATCTAGAATATAAACATCTCTCTGGAAAAGGGAGTTTGAATAGGTTTGATTATGGAACTTGAATAGGAACCACACTGAACGGGATTCTTGGAGCCAGGAGAGAAAAATCATAAAAGATAGTGAATATCTCGTGATGGAGGTGTGGAATTCATTCAAGGCACAGAAGGGAAAAGCACTCTGCCTAGAAATGATTTTCATCCTGGCTGTTGTTTTCCAACACGGTTTCCATTTCTGTAGCACTGACGCACAGTAACAATAAGATGAGCCACCTTGGGTTTAAATATATTTGAAATTCTGAATCTATAAAGTAATGTTATCTTAAAACAACAAAATCTAAAAGTATTTACTTTCCCTACATGCCTACTAGAACTTGGTCATGCAAGTGACTTTTACTAGTTAGGTAATGGGAGGTTATTTACATAGAGTTTGAATGGGGTTTGAGTCTACATGAGAGTGTCGTTTCTAAACAAATTCAAGATGCAAGTCCTATGGAGTTTGGTGTTTTCTTGTTCAATATACAGCCCTTTAAAAGTCATTTCTGTAATTCTTTGAGTTTCAACACTAGATGAATCACATTTTACTGAGATAGTGTTAACTTTTCAGCACACCAGATCCTGGGAAACTGAAAGTATGCTTTTTTAATTTGTTTTCAAAGAGAACCAAATCTCGAGACTCTATCAGATGGGTTTTTGTATCTCAGATCATCACTTATCTAAGGTATTCAGTTCCGCTTTCCTCACATTTTTATGATTGAGCAAGTGCTTTAGTAACTAGCTTTGCAGAGGGGGGCGCTTTTCGTAGGGGGCGATTATACTATTGATGTAAATTACTTTGAAGTTTGGCAGCTCTCTCTAGAGACAGGGACTCTTCCTGTTGTTGTTTTGCCAAAACTTGCCTGACTCTCTGATCTTTGTATTATAAAAGCAAGATGCCTGTTCTGAATCCTGACACGTCATAAGCTTGACAGTGTTAGATTACCTTTCAAAAGCTGCAAACGTTTCAGCCTGTCTTCTTTAGAAAAAAGAAATCTGTTCTAATTTCTTAACTGCTGAAAAAGAGCAGAGCTCACATCAAGTGTGACTCATGATAACAAATCTGATGACTTTCTTCCTCCTCTCCCTGTCCCTTGAACATTGATCAAGTATCCAGTCACTTTCTGACTAGAGAGACATTGTACACAATTCTTGAGCAGGAGGGAAGGAATGTTTGGCTCAATTTTCATGATAATTCAGCCAATCAATCCAAGAATGGAGGGGGGGAAGGGTATACATAATCACTAAGTGTAATGATATTTCGAGGTGTATTCTGGTCATCTCCCATCAATTAATTGCTAAACAACCAGTTAGCTCTGAGGTGGGTGTAAAGCCCATCTAAGCAGTGGTTTCATTTACCACAGTTCCTGCTTTAAACTCAAGTCTCCAGAATAGGAATACACACATGTAGCAACAAGTCAAACCAACTTCTCTCCCTCCCCTCCAGAGATTCTGTCCAGAAACACCGACAGCTGTTCAGAAGGACAGCTGCTTTTCTCTGAATCATGGGAACTGGTATGCTGGTTTAGGAATAAAATTGTGTGTATGCTTCCCACAGCTCTGGGATGGGTAATTCTGACAGGTAACCAAAGCTGCCTCTCCTGCACATAGGAATCTGTGTTTTAACTGACCTTTGATCAGGAAAGTGGGTATGGTAGATAAATATGCTCCTTCCATTTTAATGTCAACTTATCCACACCTTCATTCTGATGTATACTTAATGCAATTCCTATATTAAAAATGTAGCCAGGACTTAGTATTTACAGTATGACAGTTACTGGGCTGGACTCTGTTGTTGTTCAGTTGCTAAGTTGTGTCTGACTCTTTGCAACTCTCTGGACTGCAGTTCAAACACTATTGATAAATGCATAAATGACAGGGATGGACTGACTCATAGATGAGTCAGTTGCATCCTCAGTTTGAAGAATGTCCATGGATGTCCCTTCCAAAACCTACTGGATCTATCCAAGGGGCCGTGAACAAGGAAAGGACTTTGCCTGTGGTGTGGAGGGCAGTGTTTATCAGTGTCTAGGGGCATTTTGGACATTTTGTCACAGCTGGGGCAGGGGCTGGTACCATGGACATCTAGCAGGTATAGGCCATGGATGTGGCTAAACATCCTGCAATGCACAGGCCTGTCCTCCCTAATATGGAATGATCTGGCCCCAAATGTCAGTAACAATGAGCTTGAGGAAACATGTCATAAAACTTCATAAACAGTAGGGGTGGTGTAGAAAAGAACATCTGGCATTTCTCTAAATAAAGTTCTTTTGAAAGAAGGAAATAGTGATTGTTGATGGACAAAGGAGTTGACAAGTGCTCAGAGAAGCCCTGACTTTCTCAGGTGTCTCAGTGGCAAAGAATCCACCTGTGCCAGTGCAGGAGACATGGGTTTGACCCCTGGTCCAGGAAGATCCCCTGGAGGAGGAAAGGGCAACCCACGTCAGTATTCTTGCCAGGGAAATGCAATGGACAGAGGAGCCTGGAGGACTGTAGTCCACAGGGTCACAGCTTAGCAGCTGAACAACAACAACACCTTGATTATCAGCTCAGTCCGTTCAGTCACTCAGTCGTGTCCGACTCTCTGTGACCCCATGGACTGCAGCACCCAGGCCTCCCTGTTCATCACCAACTCCCGGAGTTTACTCACTCATGTCCATTGAGTCGGTGATGCCATCCAACCATCTCATCCTCTGTCGTCCCCTTCTCCTCCTGCCTTCAGTCTTTCCCAGCATCAGGGTCTTTTCCAATGAGTCAGCTCTTCACATCAGGTGGCCAAAGTATTGGAGTTTCAGCTTCAACATCAGTCCTTCCAATGAACACCAGGACTGATCTCCTTCAGGATGGACTGGTTGGATCTCCTTGCAGTCCAAGGGACTCTCAAGAGTCTTCTCCAACACCACAGTTCAAAAGCATCAATTCTTCGGCGCTCAGCTTTCTTTATAGTCCAACTCTCACATCCATACATGACTACTGGAAAAACCATAGCCTTGACT